CAGTTAACAACAGACATCTCAGTCAAACTCAGAACTGGACTATATAAAACTATAATATCCCCCTTACACCTGACATCAAGACCAGATTCCAGTTTAAATCCATATCAAGCCAACTTATCCTGGCAATTTGCATTGGGAGTGCAAATAAATATTTAGTTCAGGGGTAGGCAATCTTTCCCCTTTAAGGGCCGAGGGACCTCAGCTCCCAGAAGCCTCAGCCATGTTGGCCAATAGTCCCATGTTGGCCAATAGTCCCATGTTGGCCAATAGCTCCTGGGATTCTGGAAGTTGAAGTCCCTCAGCCCTTAAAGGGGAAAGGTTGCCTACCCCTGATATTTTAGTTCCTCCCACAGCAAGCCTCCAAGCTTCTTTCCCTCTCACTTACATGTCTTCCTTCTCTGGTGCAGTTCATGTTTGTTGTGAAGATAAGGGGGGGGGGGGTTGAGGATTCTGTGTGCCTCCCAGAATCTGCCTACATTCACAAGTTAGGGACTGTTTGCTCAGTGGATTTATCATCACAAGAGAAGATTTGGGTTCCCCTGCTCTCTTCTAGTGGCGCCCTTCTTGGGGTCTTTATAGTCTTCGTTGGCTCTTTCCTCCCTCAGAATATTCCCAACAGATTCCTCTTCCAAGACTTAAAAGTCTGATAGAACACCTTCTACTTTGTGTTTTTATCTGATAAAGTCTTTCATCTAAACCAGGGACCGCCAACCTATGGCCCGGGGGCCGGTTAAGGCCCCGGGCCCCGGACTTACCGGCCCAGGCCGAAGGTTGTCACCGCCGCGCTGCCACCATCGGGGCACGTTTTTGCCGCTCTGCGGCTGCGCTCGCCATTTTGGAAGTCAAAATGGCGGTCGCGATGCGTTTATGCATGTGCAGTACTCTTGCGCATGCGCAAACGCACCACGGCCGCAATCTGGACTTCCAAAATGGCAGCCGTGCGCACTATGGCGGCGGCCGCAGTAGCAGACGCGGCAGTAGCATGGGCGGCGGGGTGCGCACGCGCCACCATCCCTCCCCCCTCGGCCCAGCCAAGACCTGGGCTACAGGAAACCGGCCCAGGTCTCAAAAAGGTTGCCTGTCCCTGATCTAAACTGTCTCTATCTAAAGCCTCTTCCTCTGAACAGCAGCTCAGTCTGGATGTATGTGTCTCTGGTAGATTACTGGGGAGGAGGGAGAGCTACCACCTTCCTGGAAAGCAAAATGGGAGGGAGGTTCTCTGAAGATGTCAGCCACAGAAGCTGGTGAAACGTCAGAAAAAAACTTTTCTTGAACATGGCCACACAACCCAAAAAACTATGGATGCCGGCCATGAAAGCCTTCAACTTCAGGGAGGGAGGTCAGTTTTAAATCTCTCCTTCTCTCCACCCCACAATAATGCTGAAGGAAGGATCTGCCTCTGTTCCACCAACATGATGAGATGCTGTGGAAGGAAAAGGAGGAAATCCTCAAAGCAAGGCAGTATTTGGGGAGAATGGAAACTGTGCATGTATATAACAC